TTTGACTACTTTTAAGGCCTGTTATAAAATTGCAAAAGAGTGGGCGAATCTTTACTTAGATTAGGCGTAAACGGTTGACCTTTTGTCTGTTCTGTTTCTAAATTAGGCGTTGGTGGAAGCTATATTGCATAAAATAGTACCTTGCCACCTGCTTTACATTAAACACGACTGCTTTGCAGGTGTCCTGCCGTTTAGTGCTTTGTGCTAAAAGTTGGGGCGAAAGTAGTTTAGGCAGTGGACCTTACATACTCCAAGTTCCGGCATTATGTCCTACGAGACCGATGCTATTAGTCGTTTTGTGGGAGGAAAAATATGACAGGCAGTCAAATAAATTTGTAGAAGTATGAAGTGCTAAAATGTGGTTGAATTTTTTTACCCTGGTCACTATACATCCACGGATTAGAGCGTGTAAATCGAAAAATAAGCATAAATATTATTTAGTTAATACGATGTATATCAATGAACATGCAGGCGGGAGTTTTTGACACGTTATTAAAGTATGTTACAGAATTGCAGCATAATTCTGCACTGCGTCGTCGGTGCTGCACTGATTAAAATCACAAATCAAATGTGGTTTCCCACTTCACAATTAGTTTTGCTAATTATCTTCACTGCCTATACTATTCCTTCACCCCAAAAAACCTAATACCAGCGGTCCCAAACAACAGAATGCTGGAGCTTGGGGTATATAAGTTCCACTACTTTAACTTCCTTTGCCGAATTTAGGCTTCAGTGTTTGGAGGGAGGTATGGACAATCCTCTTCCATGTCCCTTAATCCAGGCCTTTCCCTGGCCAAAGCCCACATAACAATTCCCCAGCTTCATATCTTCAGTGATTTACATCTGTTCTAAATGCGTAAAGAAATAGTGTCAACGCTTCTACTCTAGAGATTTAGCTGTCTCACTAATGGTCAGTTACTCTGTTAGCTTTCAGTTAAAACATGGGCTAATTTACGTCCTGGATTCACACTAGGAAACACCAGCGCTACTGTTAATAATTTGGTCACACCTCACAAAGTAACTGCACGCAAGTTTCTCATGCAGACCTGCCGAAAATTATGACGTAAACTGAATTTCAGTCTACTAAATGCGAGATAATCGACCATGTCTCAGGTCTTAGGTACAAATCGTACGAGATCCGGTTCCAAATGCGCTGGGTGGCAACTTGTCGGAGAAACTGTAAGTAGGCACAAAGTAGGTGATTTGAACCCCTGGTTCCTATCTGGCAAGAACGGACAAGAGAAGAGCGCAGTACATCCACTTGGAAGACATCATTTGCAGGAATGGTATACGACTAAATGTACAGACGGTAGTTAAAGTCACAAAGATAAACATTTCAAGAGAAAAGCAGAGTAACCATGAAAGTGGTGTAGTGTCCGCAGCGTTAAGTACGGTGGCTAGAACTTGGAGCCCAGCTGGTTGAAAGCTGAATAGGGTAGACGCATGAATTCAGGCACAGTACGGGCGAGGCTTGTTCGGCCGTTAGCTTCAAGAAGAAATCGTAAGGAGCGCAAGCTAGTGGGCCACTTGCCGTCCGTGTCGCGGATACCCATCTCCAGCGCGGTGTCCGATACGAAGACCACGCGCCCTGACCTTGCAAGTAACTTTTCTTTCGGTTCGGCAAGTAAGTGTGCAATGACGATGCCTGTGAGCTCGGGTGATTCACCTAAGAACGAAAGGCGGTATCAGAGGCGGTCAAGGTGAGGAAAATAAGAAGAAGTGTCCCCAGCACTACGTTAACAGACGCGAGATGCTAAAGTATTTTGTTACCATTTTGTTTCAGGATATTTTCATATAAACTCAAAGAATATAAGAAAGACAATTCAGATAGGTAATTCAACCAATCAAAGACATCCGGCTTTTGACTGAAAAGTTTTCGGTCAAAATAAACTCAGAAAAGTAAATTTTGCAATCAAATGTACAGCTGAAATAGTGATTTCAGTTCTGCTGAAAGTAGCACACTTTTTCGATTACGTCGAAGTGGTCTAAAGTTATAAAGAGAGCTAAACACCTACAGACGAGGCCATCAATGTAAAATAGGGATGTTTCGAAGCAGAGATTCGCAGTACCAGTGTCTGATACTGGCATTAGTAGGGACAAATACATCAACTGTAAAGGAGTATTTCAGAAGAATAGGCGCTAGAATGAAAGGTACGGCACGAATAAGAGCATAGATACCGCCATAGAATTCAGCACAAGACAACATGTAATTGCCTATAGAAGGGCATATGCAAGTTCCAGGAAACAGTTCAGAAGATGCGACAGATTGCACTGTACCAAGTCCGCATCCGACATAGACAACAAAATCGCGGCAATTAATGAGTTGAAAGCATTGTCAAGCCACCAAGCGGTGGTTACAGGAGTTGATAATTACAGAATGCATGCGGACGACCCCTATGAACTATAAATAGAATACAATTTGTGCATGTATCACCCCTATCTGTGCAGGTATCACACTATCCTACGGTTAACTATGATTAAGGATTTTCGACAGAATCCGAAACGTCAGGAAAATAAATTCTAGTCCATTGGTCGTATCTTCTTCTGAACTGCTTCCTCGAACTCGCATAGTCCCTTCTATCGGCAATTATGTCTTGTACTGAATTCCAGGGCGGTATCAATGCTATATTGTACCTCAAATAGACTCTGTGGCGGACGGCCGCAATGCATGTCCACCCCCCGTTCTTCAGGGGCCGCTGCCCCAAAGTCAAGCGTCGTCACAAACAACTGTTTCAATGCTTTCTTTCACTAGCGGCCCCGTCCCCCGAAGCTTCACCCCACAGCAACTTCCGGCTAACTGATAACACCTGCGCCAGCGTCCCCCGTCTTTCGGCTATCCTGCAGCCCCTACAGTCGACCTCAACGTATTCAGTCACGTACACAGGTGCGCACACACCCGCGCGTCCAAATAAGCACGCCTGCCCAAGGGTCAGTTGAATAGGCCACCCCTCGGCCGACGTAGTAAAGACCTCCACAGGCGACATCACCTCGGGCAAATTGCAACACATCAGTAGCAAACCACTTGAACTCGCTTCACCATCCTACTTAAGCAGCTGCCAGTACTGTCTCATACTTTCTCAGATCTGACTGGACGCAGTCAACACTAGCCCTGGCTTCGCCAGTGGCCACTGCCACCTGAGACAGCAATTGAGAGTTCTGTTCCAAAAAATCAAAGAAAGTCGAATGAAGATTTCCACGAAATTGAACCATATTACTAAACCAAATACCATACTACTCTGATTACAGATAATTCCTGATTATTTTGACTACTGAAGTGCTATGCAGTTCTCACTGAATGTGTGTTCCCCAGAAAGCCCGAATATAAAGAATGGCACTGCAAGATCTGCGTTGCAGCCAGGGCTCATAAATGTTGATTGATTAAGAAATCCTGTTTAGGCAGTCAGCTTTGTGCAGCTGAATTGGTGAATCCCAGACGTTGTAGTCGGCTGGTCACGCAATTTGATCATAGTGCGCTGTCTTCGATGAAAGTAACACACATTGCGTGATTGGAGCATCACGATATCCCTCTTCGACAGTCTAACTGGAAACAGAGCTCAAGATTGTTGCTGAACTTTTTGTGACTAGAATCTTGGGTGAGGCGTATGTAAGTGAGATTGAGTGAAGCATTAAAAGGAGAGCATATGTACCTCGTTCTTCTAAGAGCTTAGCTCTGGATTCAG